TGGTGGACAGTGGTGATGGTGGTGGACGGTGGTGGTGGTGAAGAGAAGTAGAAGAAAAAAATGGAGAAGATGTTAGAAGACATAGGTTAATGTCTTCTCCAAGAAGATGCCAGGAAAACCTTTTTGAGTGAAATGTCTTCCAAAAAACAAACAATCTGCAGAGCTCAACATCTGCGCGCGTCTGCGCGGCACAGACAAAAGAGGCCAGAAGCTCTTCTGGCCAAAAAAAACAAACACCCCCTTATTCTTTTCAAAGACTCCAATTCATCCATGGTATTTATATAATAAGGTCCATAACATGAGTATAGACCTTATGATCACAGAAGAATACACAAACCTTGTTTCTTACCTAAAATTATCTGTCCATGTGACATATACTCCCTCCCTCCGATATCTTTCCTTTTTACCCGTCCTAAAATAACTTCACTTTTTTTAAGGGAATGGAGAGCTCAAATCTCCTTCCTCCTCTATAAAGAAAGTCTAACCATAAAATTTTCACTTTTTCAACGCTTTGCTTAAACTTACTAAAAGTCAAACAAAGGTCGTTTTGCATGACAGAAGAGTGTATTCAAGGTAAAAAAGAATGCAAAATAGAAGAAGCGAAAAGGGCAATGAAGCTAAGCAATCAGCTTGTCATTAATCTGATACCTTGATAAATCATCTAACCTCAGCAGCCACCTTTTACTCCCAAGCAGTCTGTAGAACTATTGACTTTTAGAGACTCATGTTGGTCCTATGTTGGCACCTATCTGCTTCTCATTGGTCTTTACCCAGTGGACTTCTTGTTTGGATTGTTTTCAGCATCAGAATTGCCTGCTTGTGTGCCATTGTTACTTGTGTTTCTTTCTCCGGCGATTGAAGGTTGCTTACCCTGATTACCAATTGGTGGTTCCTTTCTGATTGCAACCGGCGACTCTTTCTTGGATTCGACCACCATTGCCTTCACTGTCTCCTCCAACTTGTCCAGCCTTGCTTTCAAGTCCAAGAGTTTTTTATCAGACAGTTCTTTCTCTAGCTCTGATGTTTCTTCAATTTCTTTTGCTTTTGCTGCTGCTTCTTCTTCAGCTTTCTTTTTCAATTCATTTTCCTGAAACAAAAAATACAAACACCAATAGAGTTATTTGGTGAGTATCACAGTGCAAACACTTCTAAAAGACTTGCTGAGGTACATGAGGTTCTGAAGATTATTATACATTAGAAAGAGAGCTTTTTATAGTAGAGTGAGGAAGATTGAAAAAAAGGACAAGGAAGCAGGTCTCTTACCGCCTCCATTCTCCTCATGTCATAGCGAGCATATTGAGCAACCAAATACACAGCTGTTACATGACATTTGTCATTCAAATTATATCATCAAAGAACTAACATTTTGAAACATTAGTAAAGCTAAATATGTGATGAGAGGTACCCAGGGAAGGTAGACAGGCAAAGAAGAATTGTACCAGATGGAAATCGAGCCTGATCATTACACAAATAAATAAGTTACACTTGAACATCACGAAGTAAAATGTCATTTGACAAATGATGTGCATATTTCCTTGGAACTAATCCCAAATGAAAGGGGGATCCATCATTATATTATTTGCTTAGCTCTTTCACTCAAAGTAGAATTGGCACAAATGGCACAAAATGTAGGACTGCTTCATTATCATGAATTACACTCGTAGAGGTCATTCTGCAGCATTTTTGTTCCCTAAGTAAATACTTTCAGGTCTTTTTTCTTTAAAGTTCAAAACTTCTTTGTAAGCATTGACTGTTAACTGAATGCGGATTATTTGCATTGGTGACCTCAGATCTCTCTTAGCACAGCCTATAGCATAAACCATGTCTTCCTCTTTTCTATATGGGTCCCACATTTTCATTCCTATGAAACTAAGCTCAATTTTATTACACAAACATATAAATATAAGAAATCAAACAGGGAAAAGATGTTACGCTGATTGCTGAATGAATTCGGAATCTCAGATTATGCAAGCATAAACAAATAAATGAATGAGAGAAAATAACACAGGAAATAACTATAAAATTTAAACGAGGAAACAATAGAATAGGTACTCTAAGTGTTTGACAAATTGCCTGAAAGAGAGTTCCGAGCAGAATACCCGAATTTTTTCTTTTTGGGAGGATCCGAGAAGAGGATCTTAGCAGCCTTCATGAAATTGAGGTTGTCTAGCTCCTTGTAAGTGTCGTATGGAGTCAAAGAAGAAGATGCATCCACCACATCATTCTTCTTGCCAATGTTGTTGCTGGGTGGCTGGTTGTTACTGCATAAGGATCGTATTCCGATGGGTTGGAACTTGTGTGATAGTTGTGCCAAGATGCTTTTAGTAGCAAAGATCAGTCCCATTCTCCCAGCAACACATCACCCTTAGCGAGAATGAGATGCCACCACAAAAAAGGAACACAGTTTTTTAGTCCTACAGTAAGAACCCCAGTTCATTAGGAGGACGAATGAAAAACACTTGTTCAAACAATTTCTTTCATTCTCAAAACACCAGTTGGATATCGCAATATAGGAAAAACTGAACGGCTGAATATCTAATGTGAAGTTTGAAAATCTAATACTCCGTCTCTAATTGCATAAATTGAATGTCGAATTGGAAAATTGCAAATTTGAAACCTCCTAAGCGTCAATGGCTATGCAAATTGGAAAACTGCAAAGTTTGAATCTGATAATAATACCTGGGCGGTTTACGGAGGCGGTAAGCCGGACTAGAGGGACTTCTGGAGGGAGAGGGGCGGCCGGGAACGAAGACGGGGAAGTGGCGGGGTATCGGAGTACACGCCTTCACGGCGGGGACAGGCCGCGATGCGTCGGGCTCGCTGGCTTTGATTCTTGGGTTGTTCGCTGCTTCGTTTTTTTTTTATTTTTTTTTGGTTTTTGGTACAGGCTTGCGTTATTTACACTTTTTAAAGTCTAGAGTGTAAAATTATGAGGACGTCTATCATATAAAACGTTTATTTTGAATCAACAAAATATTTATTTTGACATATTTGTTTGTTACAGTTAAAATATTCATTTACAAATTAGGAATAATGTATATTCATTTTGAAGCACTAAAATGTTAATTTTGATGTAAACAAAATATTCAAAGTAATCATTGATAAACAAACACCAATCTTATCCTACTTCAAACACGCCCTCGTCTGAAGTATCCACGCTACCACGGCAACCCATGATCGCACAGCCACCTTGCGCGTCGCAAGAGTGAGAAGAGCCGCGCATCATAACCGCCATTCGCGTGTAGTCAGCCATGTGCGAAGACGTCGTTCCTCCAGGTCAGAATTCTTCATTGGATTACTTTGTTCCACTTCGATGGCCGCTTAGTAAATAAGAGTAAAAAGATATTTTACTTGAAAGTGGAAATGTTTCGCCAAAAAAATAAAAAGTAAAAATGTTTAGGGAAACAAAGAAAGTACGTAGTATTAAATATTGATACAACAATTACTTTATTAAATTTATTTTACCACACATTTCAGCAATTTTCCCAAACCTTAACATCACTAGCTATCGTGTTTTTTCAAAGGAAATTGTTGTGGTTAATCCATTTGCCCTGTACTTTTAGTTGCCCAGAGTGGAAACTAAAACAATATGAAAAAAACTACTAATTTTACAATCCAAGTGAACTAAAGGTGCCTTGAAGAAGATATTACTTCATCAGTCTCATTTTTTCTCCTTTCTTTTCCAACCATCTTATTCTTTCTTCTTCTAGCCTTAGATGGAAATATTATTTGCCCTTTTTACAGCTAAAAGAATATTTTACCCTTACAGATCACAACCTCTCTTATTTGCCATGTTTCACTGTAAAGGCATGAGATGTTCTCTTTTCACATCTTTTCTTTCTCCTAAGAAATAACTTTCTGAGAAACCAAATTCCTCCTCTGTGCTTCAAGCCACGATAAGCTCCAAGAGGCGTGGATTTGAATGTACAAATTGCATTGCAACCATTATCAGGTTGTAAAAAAGAACGCTTGTCTGCTGCCGGGATTTCTACTGCATCTTTAGCTTCATCCTCGAACAACATCTGATCGCGCAGAGATGCACGGCGCATGACAGTCTTGTTGTTGGAAGCACACGGGTCAACTGTGGTCGGTTCTTCGCCTGGCGTGCTGAGGGTTAGGATGGTCTTTTGACACTCTCTTTGCAAGCCCTCATCTAGAATCTTGTTGATGTGATTGCTCTCAAGTTGAAGTTGGAGCTCAAGACATGTGCCTTCGAGCTCTTCAAAGAGGCGAATTTTTTCCTCTAGTTCCACTTCAAGTGAAGACATCTTTTGGAGGGATTCATTCAGTTTAGCTTTCGTCACATTGAGCTGCGTGTCAAGGTCTTCGTTTACCCACTTCTGGTTTTCGATCACGTCCTCCATTATTCGGTTAGACTCGTTCAGAGCTTCGTTTTTGTCCATCTCCAGCTGCAGCCTTGCCTCTAAATCTTTCTTAGATGATCTCGCCTCATTCAGCTCAGCTCTCAAGTCTTCATTTTCAGCTCTCAAATCTTCTTTTGGAGAGGTTACTACTACAAGCTTTTCCATTTCAACAAAATCATCCATTAGCCTCATCTCTGAAACTCCAATCCTTGCTTGTTCAAAGTTAGTCTCTAATCCAGAATCTCTGCTTTCCTCTTTCTTCAAGTTTTCTAGAACAGTTCGACTCTGCTTTGGCATTCGTTTTCGCACCAGAACGCGAAGCCTTTGGATTTCAGCTTCTAACCTCATGATCTTCAACTGTTTATTTTGACTTCGGAACTCTTTTTCAAGGTGCAAATTCCCAATGGTTAAATTCACGGCCTTCTTGTCTGTCTCCCCCAAAATTTCCTCCAACGTCTTATGTGCCTTCTCAACATCTCGGGATGTCCTCATTGCAGCATCTCGTACTCTTTGCTCCATTATTCCTTCTCTGGTGAAAGTTAAGTTCTGCATACAATCTTTAAGTGCAATGTTGAGGTGAGCCAACCTTCCATTTGCAGCCTGTCTTTGTTTTGCAGCTTCTTCTGCCTCTTCCTTTAAACACTTAATTTCAGCCTCCGCTTTCTTGTGATCTAAAATGTGCATTCGGATGATAATATTAGCAAAGTTGACAACTCTTAACCTAAGAGTTCAACCTAATAAGATTAGAAGATGAGTAACCCAAAGGTTTATACCCCGTATGTTGTATTATAATCTTAACACAATGGAAACGCGACAATGACAACAAACCCAGAAAATTCCCACAAAAGTAGGGTCTGTAGAGAGTCTGTTTCCAAGAGACCACCGGCTGAGATACAGAAGTACAAACAAAGAAACCAGCGAAGCTATATGATTGATTATTCACTACCTGCCACTGCTTCTTCTGCTATATTTGTCAACTTCGCGACAAGTTCATCTTTAGCATTGCACTCGTCTAGAACGGATGCTAACTTCTCTTTGAGACTTCTCACCGTTTCCTCCAGAACTATTTCCTTTTCATTCTGAAGTAGTTGAACCTAAATAGCAGCAAATGCAATATTAAGTCATACAAGTCCTCAACTACTCCTATCAAATTGATCTTTTAGCATGAAGCCCGAGCCTGTTTTGAAAAAGAAAAAAAAGAGAGAGACCATACCTCCTCCCCATTGTCTTTAACATGAAAACCAGATTTGTCATCTGCAACTGTTCTTTTTTCAGGGGATTTGTTGTTTCTCCAAAGCCAACTCTTCTGGTCCATGGTTTCTTACTGTTTACTGTGGAATATTAAAGCAATGGTTGTGAGTGGTCACACTCCAATTCAAATGTCAAGGTCACGACAAGAACAAACAAAAAAAAACATTATCTGCATGGTACCAAAAGAAAAAAACTATTTTCTCTTTTGTTTTCTTCACTGGAATCATTCTCAGCTTCAACTAAGATTATAAGCAGTTATCAAACACCCCAAATAAAGACTAAAAAAGAGAAGCTTTGACAGTAGATACACTGTCTAAGATTACAGACTGATAAATGCCATTCACAATTTCTTGCAAGATACATCATGAAAGGAAGAACAACAACAAGAATGATTACCCAGTAATTTGTAATTAAAAAAACAATTTTTTAGATGAAAAAAGTGAAAATTAACCAACTTCGGATAAATAAATAGGCGACAGAATGGTTTGAATATCAATTAGTACATACTACGGTATCACTGTCCAAGAAAAGTGGATCTTTAATTTAATGAATGGCTGCAGATAGATACCAATCAAACTCGAATAAATATAATCCACAGAAAAATTGGGCATTCCAATTTCCGCCGACAGAAGAAGAAGAAGAAGAAGAAGAAGAAGAAGAAGGGGGGAGTCATGAGTGTCGTTTAGCTGAAGAGGGGGTAAAAATCAAAAGGTTGGCGGAAATCGTGGAGAAATGTGTATGGAGAAAGAATTGAGACTTCTGACTATGATTGGGTAGATTGTTGGTTGCCCATAAGAGAACAAAATAACCACATGTTTGAGTTCGATTTTTGATAACTCTGTCGGGAGAAAATTATGTTAAATGTAGGATGCAAGTACTAGGTGCAAATATCATTATATATATAATTGTATTATTCATATTTATGTATTTAATTAATTGGAAAAATTAGAAATGGAAAATTTTAGAAGTGAGTATTATACTCCTTACATTTTGTCCATTTTTTTAATTTTAAATTGTTCAAAATTAGTTATCTTTTTCCTTTTAATGAAGAAGTTGTTCTAAAATTTCATAGAGATAAACCTTCGCACTCATCAATTTTAAAGTACTTACGGTGTTACGCTCACAAAATTGATTATTTCTATCTTCGTCTGCGAGATTAATGGTTCATACAATTTATGATCATTTATGTGTGTCTCCAAACAAGGCAAATTGACGATCTTTACTTTAACGATACTCCATTTGTTCTTAAAAGATAATGTTATTTTATGGTCTGTTAGGGAATAGTGTTAGAGATTAACGTTAGCGTTTTGGAAACGCTAACGTTATACACTGTCCGTAGATAGCATTTTCAAAACGCTAACACTAATCGCTGAAGCTATTTCCAATCGGGCTCTTAGAATGGATTTAAAAGAGAGACAAATGACATTGATCATATATTTCACTCTAACAGAAGAAATAAACTTTCCGGACAAACAAAAAATAGGCAATGTTTTTTGAGACAAAATTGTAAAGAGGTGGTAATAGTCACACTCCACTAAAACACAAAAATCACTCTATACACAAAATTCACTTGACTAATTTTTTAATTTCTTTTAACTTGTGTTTCACTTGAACTCATATAAATTCTAAAACTTTAACATTTTGATAAAATGATGTGTTTAATAAAAATATACGGAGCACTCCTTATATTTTAAAAAAAATTCAATAAATATATGATACGTGTTATAGAAATCTTTTTTATTATTAGATATGATATGTTTTTAAAATAAAAGTTGTTAAAATAATAAAATAACTATGTAGAATATAAAGAAATTGGTGATATGCATATTGCTATATTACTTAGAAAATACACCCTCCGTCCCAAAATATTCACAACATTTGCTTTTTGAGCAGTCGCGAGAACTTTTGTTTATTTCTACGTTTTCATTGGTTATTTGATAAAATAAAATATTATTAACACCTCTTATTTCGAAGAACTTTTCATTTATATATTTTTATATGTAAATTTTATTTTTTATTTCTATACCAATATGTAAATAAAATAAATTAAAAAAATTGATATTTTACCTCGGGAATACAAGTGTGGCAAATATTTAAGGACGGAGGGAGTAAAAAGTTTTATACTCCGGGGTATATAATTTTTTTAAAAGTAATGGATTAAGTTATTTGTACACCAAAGTTTGTACCTTATTTTCTACCCAAAGGCATACATTGATATTTTGTACTAGTGTGATATTAGTGTGATGATTTACACTGACAAAAAATGTCAATATACATTTTTTAATTGAACTAACATTTTTCATCAGTTTGAACCGTTAAAATGTAGGTACATTTCTTTGGTGTACCCTAGCATGGTTGATAAAATAAATACTCCGCAATAGATTTAGGGTCGGTTTGAAAACAGCGTTAGAGATAAGCGTTAGCGTTTTGAAAAGGTTATATACGAGCAGCGTTTAGCGTTAGCATTTTCAAAAGAATCTGCACCGTTGAAATTTTATCCAAAATGCTAACGCTAATCTATAAGTATTTCTAACACACTATTCACAAAAATGTGTAGATAATTTTAATTTGCGAAACTTCTAGATAGGAGTTCTAGCAGAAGAGGAACGACAAGTGGTAGGCTCACGGCCGTGGTCGTGGCTCCCCGATCTTTCCTCCACCCCGTGCCTCCTTCCCCAGCGACAATCTTTCACTCCAATTGGGATAAAACTAAATTTCCGATCCTCGAAAAACCCTAGGGGAGAAATCTCACAGGTCCTTATGGAGATCGCACCGGCGGTGCCGGCGTCTAACGACGGTGGCAGCGGGATTTCCGCCTCAGCCGCTTCCTCATCCTCCGTCGATGCAATCAAGGCGGCTACCGCTTCTTCCCCTTCTTCATCTGTCAGCGTTACGGCCTTCAAGTATGACGACGACGACGATGAGGGGGACGTTTGCCGGATCTGTCGAAATCCGGGCGATGCAGACAATCCTCTCCGGTACCCCTGCGCATGTAGCGGCAGTATTAAGTATGTTCACCAGGATTGCCTCCTTCAATGGCTCAATCACAGCAACGCTCGCCAGTGCGAGGTTTTTTTCAACTCCTTCGCATCTCTGTGCGCAATGTTTTTCCATTTTATGTATTGTCTTGCGATCACTACTATGTGCATAGCTGCCTGCCACTATATACCACTCAAAGGTAGTTCATCAGCTCGTTTGGTTTGGCCATGAATGTGTATGCAGGCAAGGTTCAAGGCTAGATAAGCAGCCTCAAGCCTTGGAAGCCTGGCAACCGTAGTCGTGGGGATAAAGATGTTTCTTAAAATTTTATCTACTTTTATTACTCTCTCCATCACGAAATAAAATGCATAGCTTGAATTCACAGAAATTAAGATAAGGGTTAGAAAGTGTATTTTTAAAATTTGTTAAGAGGTGATAATGTTTGTGAGCCATACATTGCATTTCTTAATATGAAAAGGAGAAGTGTTAAATTCATTTTCTGACAGATAAGAAAAGAAAGTGTGAAATTTGTTTTGGTATGAAAAAGAAATATGAATAAATACCAAAATAAATTTTATGCAAATTCTGATAGTATAATAAAATTTCAAAATTTCAACGATTATATATCTGTTAAAAGTACTAACAATTACAAATTCAAAATATTGAGCAGTATACATTTAATTAAAGAGTTCATGTAAGTTTAAATATCTTTTGATAATTTAGCTTAATTTTTTTGAAGGTTGATCCATCAAAAATACTTTGGTCATTTCACACCTCTTACACCTAGGATCAACTAGTCAATCCTTTTATGCGTTGGCTAATTTAGTCTCACGTATTTAGCATTCGAATACTATGCCTGGAATTTCCCTTACAATGTTACCATCTTTTAGAAGTCTATAGCAGAGTGGATTCATGAGTTTGTGTATGCTAAATCTTAACTATACTGTTGGACCAATCTTGACATTCAGTAATAGTTAGGGGGTTTATTTTGTAATTATGTTGAAGTCTTTATTTGTTAATAATTAGGGTAGAGCCAGTCATAATTTTAGGAGATATATCTCAGATGGATTTGAGATTATCATAGCTTGTAGGAGTAGGAGATGTTATGCTTGGAGAGCAAGGCTGATGATTTAACTTGGTGGACAAGGTTAACTCATCTATAAATAGGGATAGTTTCTCTGTATTTTATGTATTCAAAGTTTTTCAATTAATTGGAGAAGGATTTCCAATAAGTTCTTGTTCTAGATTTCTGTTTTCTGTTTATCGAGATCTGGAACCAATAACTTCA